TGGTTATCATGGGGGAGGGGGATAAAGAGGCACAAAAATTCTCAATCATAATATAAGTTGGTCACATACTTATATTGGTAGTGCAGCATGGAGAATATAGCCAGTGATTCTGTAACATCTTCCTATGTTGACAGACAGAAACTGCACTAGTGGGGGTGAGGATTTAATGACATGGGTACTGTTGAACCACTGTGTTGTACACTTGAAAGCAATGATGTAAGATGGTATATCAACTGTACTTCAGTAAAAAAATTACTACATATATCAAAATAAATAAATAAAGACAGATCTCAGAGTATATCCAGACCACTGGTCTCAGGAACCTTGTATTCTACCACTATTTGCATAATGACACCTTGTTAGGACATAGTGACTTTTATTTACTTCAAGTCACTGTTCCATAAATTATCTCTTTCAATGGGCTGGTAGTTTGAGTCTGACTGATTTGGTCTTCGTTACAAAGGGAAAAGACACATAGCTTGTGGGTGATGTAGAGCTGGAATCCTCTGGATCTTCTTCCACTTGACCTAGTTCCAAGCCCATGCCACAGTGTGGGATGGTGGCAATGATTCTAGCTAATACAACCCAGGCCCTGGCGAAGGTCACTATGTCTCAGTATGAGAGGTCACTGGTGATGTACACTCACCCTAAAGACCCTTAACCCTCCTTCTAACCAGGTTGGTAGTCCAAACTCATAAAATTCATGTCTGAAAAAACAATGTCCATGCTTTCTTCACAAAATGGAAGAGTTCACTTAGGATATTCATAATACTAGAATATTTCTCCCAATTCTGGCCCATGTGTTACAAAAACAATTTCTTTTTCCTTCTTGTGTTCTTCCTTACTTCCTCACTGTTTCCCCAGTGACCTTTCATCTCTTTCCTTCCCCGCCTCTCTCCTTTTTTCCTGCCCATCCATGTTGTGGGATATAAAGAGTTTTCTGGGCCACAGCATGACTTGGGTTCAGAAACACGAGATGAGGCCATCTACCACTTGACACAGGTTCCCTTTCACAGAATTTTCGACAGAATTATGTGGCCTTTGTTTACAGTGTTCAGTGCTCCTTAGTTCCCAAAGGAGCCCATTCTAATGACTGAGAGTTTGGGTAATTACCTCGTTTTCCAGTTTTTAGTATTAGCAAGACAGGAAAAAATAGACAAGCTGTTCTGTGTGACACTCTCATCTACCCAGTAACTTTGCTATGTCACTTTCCAGGAGCGGATGGGCAGAGTGAATAGCTCATGCATCTGCCCTTCCCAAGTCATGATATTCCCTGATTTTGAGAAACCACCAGGGCTCGGTGTCTGAGGCCACTCTTAAGGGCTTTCGTCAGCATTATGAGTTTCAATAAATGAAAGTAAAGTGGGCCCAAATTGAGTGTGGCATGCAAGAGAGGGCAAGTTTCAAAACCCTAAGAGATGAACAGTTGGCAGTTGTGTTCTGAGATTCTCTGCTTCACTCAAGAGACCCCTTTCAGCGACCATGACCTCTGTACACTTCTCCTAGACCAAACCACTCACTGGCCGGCGAATACCCCTGGCCTCTCATGCATCAGTGCTTTTGCTCACACTATTTCCTTTGCCTACAAGTTTCTAAAACACCTAACTTATCTGCCTGGGCTTCTGCCTCATATTAGAACAATTGATATTCTTGCCTCCACTTTCTACCAATCCCATAGTGATACTAAGTGCTTGTAAACATGAGGGCAAGAACTATTGCCTGACTTTTTTTTTGAAACCTTTATCCAGCACCTTGCACAGTGCCCTGGGCTCAGAATGGGTCCGTAGCACCATAAAAAAGAATCCATGCAATGCATGATCTAATTTATTCAAAGGTGAGGTCACTCAGATAGGAATTTCACACAAAGGAAGTAAGTTCAGCCCACCACTCACTGTGACTGAAAACCACAGCCCATAAATCAGCCTGGCAGGCTGTCCTGCCAAAGAAGAAATGTTTAGACAGAGAGGACAAGCAGTTTGACGGAGGAGGGAGAGGAGAGTGCTAGGGAGGAGGGGCAGGGAGGAAACCACCGTATGAACTTCCTTGAATCTCTTATGCCATTGACCTGCCAATAAATTGGCTTAAAAAAACAACAACAAAAATTTAACATGCCCAGGCCTAAATACGATCCTTCCCCCAGACAGGCAGGCACACCAGGCTGCAAGCCCGACCCACGCTGTGCCCTCTGGTATGACCTCAGAGGGCAGGGCCAGAGACAGAGTCCTGGTCAGGGGGAATAAAGACCTTTGTGTAAACAGCTCACCTCCATTCTCAAGTGACACTGTTTGACATAGTTTAAAAGTGACATTTACCTGCTTCTGCTGGCTCTGGAGATTGGGAGAAAAGTATGAAGGAAGGGCAAGAATGAGTGAGCACGGTGCTGGTCTGCGGGGTGTTCCCAGGCTGGGCGTGGGGTTGGTGCCACCGAGGACAGCAAGGTGGCTCTGCCAATCTCTGACAAAGCGCCCCGGAGCCACAGGCAGGGGGGAAGTGGGCAAGAAGCTGTTAACATCCCCGCAGGAGGTTATTTTGCCATTGAAGGAGTCTTGTTTTGTTTCCTTCATTATTGTCTGGTTAACTATTTCCTTGGAAGGGAAGGATGTGTAGAGATGCAGAGTCCAGCCAACTGCACGTGGTAGTGGAAGGAGTGTAAGTACATGTGTGCACGGCCACCGCTCCCAACACATGGGCCTTTTGTGTCCAGCTTTTGCGCGACTCATTCTCCTTTGCAGGAAGTTCTAAACCCACACTGAGCACATTATGTTTTATTTCATTGTGTAACTGTCTGTAATTACATAATTCACACAATAGCTTAGTCTTTTGGGAGTTCAGGATAAACCTTTTTCTCCCTAGATGTTGGGGTCTAGAAGGCTTAAGGTGTGTTCTGGTTCTTTTGTGCCCTATCATGGTTGGCATAGTTCTAGGCACATGGGCACTGCCCACTGGCTGTCATTGGGCTCAATAAACAGCTATATCAACTCGACTTCAATTTAAAAAAATAAAAGGGAAAATACAGCTTTATTGCCTGACATTAATAAAATTCCATAACTTTCACTACACCATGACATTAAAATTTCTCCTAAGGGTTTATAGCCAAACTGAGAGAGAACATGGGCATCAGCCACTCTCCATGTGACTCTATCCATGTGTGCAAGGGGCAGACAAGGTCGGGCTGTAGGGCAGATGTACCTGAAAGGCTTGGTGGACTGCCTTTGTCCAACCCCTAAGTTGGGGGGCCTACATTTAATGGAAGCACACTATTAATAAGACCTAACATTTCTGGAGCACTTACGACATGCCAGACGTGTCCTAAACCCTTTACATGTTTTAACTCATTTAATCCACACAGCAAACTCTGTAATTGTCCCTGTGTTAGAGATAATAAAGGCTGAGGGAAGCTGAGAAGCTGGCTTTTGAGTGGAGAGCCTGGCTTTGAATGCAGGGAGTCTGGACTCCAACCCATGCTTTTACTCACTGAGCTGTACAAGAGAAATACTTTTTCAAAAGACATGAAAAAAAATGGCTTTTGTGTCATTGCAATAGGGGGGTTTCATGTGTTTTGCTTTCTAAACTATAAATTTGGGCCAAACATAGTATGAATGTTGGCATCAGCTTGGCATATAAGGCTATTGATCAGCAGTTTGGGTCCATGCACACAGAGAGTACCTTGAAAGGAATATACTGATTGAAGATGAAATGAAGCTAATGTACTACTCTTGGGAAAAGATCAAATGTGTTAACAGTGAGAGAGCAGACTTGACCATAATTAATGAAGTAATAATCACTTTGAGCTTAAGACCTGATTCTTTGATTACAAATGTTTCCATTTGAAGAGGGCTGGAGGGACCCTTTGGCCTGTGGAAAATAATCAGTAAAACTTTCATCTTAGGGTTTCTGTTATGTTTGATCAATGTATCTGTCATTTCCAAAAAGCTTCTGAGGTTTTCATCTTCCTGTCTTTGTGCTTTTTCAATTGATTTTAATCAGAGGCAAGATGCTGATTCAGCTTCTAGTCTGAATTTATTCAGCTGGTGCAAAGATTCAGCGGCAAGGTTGCATTTACATTTTTATCACTGTCTCTTAAACCTGAATAATTTATCATGTTTTTTCCAGCTCTCTTCTCTCACCATGTTATAGAACCAGAGTGAAGTTCTTGCTTTTGTAATCAAACTCATCCCGGATGTGTCTGCCATTTCTCATGGGATTCTGACACCCTCTCTGTTCTGTCATGGCATGTTTGGGGGGAAAGTTTTTTTTTCCTCTTCACTGATTCTTCTTAGAGATTTCTAACTAAGATGTCAGAGATTTCTTTGTATGCATTCCCTTTCAAAGTGTGCAGATTCTGCAACAAATTAACAGGCTACTAAATTAAAGATTTTGGGGTAGGAATCTAATATGTTGCTTATCAATGCATTTTTTTTTAAATGAAGAAATCAAAAAATGACAGTGAACTCCAAGGAGAAAATCTTATAGACTTCTACATGGGGTTTTCTTTCTTGGGCAATTACACTGTTTAAACATGAAAATAATAGTCCTGATACAATCAACAAAATATGTTCATGGAAAAAAATGCTCTCCACCATGTCAATAGCTGAGACATACACATTCATGTTCAGGCATACTAAAGGTGTATTAGACCTGAATGAAATTATTTTACCTTTTTGTCAATTCAGAAACAGAAATGAATAAATACACATCCATGAACACACACAGCCCAAGCAAAGAGATTTTAGTGTATGGCATTGGAAACACATGCATGTTTCAAAAACTGAAAAAAAATCACTACTTTATTTGTTATTTTATGAAAAAACTCACCTTGGGGTTCATTGAAAGCAAGCTCTTTTGAATACATAGAATGGATGTTGAATTACTAAAACCTTAATAATTCTTTAATCTCAAGGACCTGTTTTAAGGCTGAGGCTCATTAGGATTTATGACTCTAAGAATGTTTTAAAATATTCAGTGAAATTCAGCTCATGTGTTACCTTCCCCATTCTCAGGCCACAGGTTCCCGAGAGGATCTGAAGCCTGTAGCTCGCTGTAGAGATTACTTCCCAGCTCCAATTGCCTTCAAGGTCGAAATTATAATTCTTTCTGGGAGAGATTAATGAATGACCAACAATGGTAAGATGGTTAATTTAATGTGTTAGGTGGGCTAGGCTATGGTGCCTAGTTTTTAGGTTAAACATCAGTTTAGAAGTGGATGGATGTGATTAATATTTTTTAAATTTTTTTGTATCATTAATATACACTTACATGAACAACATTGTGGTTACTAAATTCCCCCCATTATCAAGTCCTCACCACATAAGCCATTACAGTCACTGTCCATCAGTGTAGTAAGATGCTATAGACTCACCACTTGTCTTCTCTGTGCTATACTGCCTTCCCCGTGACCCCCCACTACATTATGTGTGCTAATCATAATGTCCCTTTTCCCCCTTATCCCTCCCTTCCCACCTATCCTCCCCAGTCCCTTTCCCTTTGGTAACTGTTAGTCCATTCTTGGGTTCTGTGAGTCTGCTGCTGTTTTGTTCCTTCAGTTTTTTCTTGTTCTTATACTCCACATATGAGTGAAATCATTTGATACTTGTCTTTCTCTGCCTTGCATATTTCACTGAGCATAATACCCTCTAGCTCCATCCATGTTGTTGCAAATGGTAGGATTTGTTTTCTTCTTATGGCTGAATAATATTCCATTGTGTATACCACATCTTCTTTATCCATTCATCTACTGATGGACACTTAGGTTGCTTCCATTTCTTGTCTATTGTAAATCGTGCTGTGATAAACATGGGGGTGCATATGTCTTTTTCAAACTGGGCTCCTTAGGATAAATACCTAGGAGTGGAATTCCTGGGTCAAATGGTATTTCTATTTTGAGTTTTTTGAGGAACCTCCATACTGCTTTCCACAAAGGTTGAACTAATTTAGATTCCCACCAGCAGTGTAAGAGGGTTCCCCTGTCTCCACATCCTCGCCAACATTTGTTGTTTGTCTTTGGATGGTGGCTATCCTAACTGGTGTGAGGTGATATCTCATTGTGGTTTTAATTTGCATTTCTCTGATGATTAGTGATGTGGAGCATCTTTTCATATGCCTGTTGGCCATCTGAATTTCTGATGTGATTAATATTTATATCAGTAGACTCTGAGTAAAGCAGATTACTCTCCACAATGTGGGTGGGCCTCACACAATCAGTTGAAGGCTTTAAGAGCAAAGAGTGAGGTTTCCCAAAGAGGAAGCAATTCTGCCTCAACAATGCAGAGTAGAAACTCTGCCCAAGTTTCCCTGCCTGCTGACCTGTCTTGTGAAAATTTCACTCAAGATGGCAATATCAACTTCTACCTGAACTTCCAGCCTGCCAGCTCCCCTACAGATTTTGTATTTGCCAGCTACCATAATTAAGAGAGCAATTCCCTAAAATCTCCCTCCCCTCTCTTCCTCTCTCTCTCTTCTATTGGTTCTGTTTCTTTGGAGAACCCTTGATTAAATGGCAACAGTCCTCCCTGGGAAAGTGACATTCCTGCCAGGCACATTCTGTCATTCCTTGTAATGAAAATGGTTAATGCATTTTTTTATTGAGATCCAAACTGCAAATTATAACAGTTGATTTATAGTGGTAAATTGTGAGATTTCTATTATTTCCTAGGACAAATCTAAATTCCTGACATCCTTATATTCAGCTCACATACCACCTCTTTCATGAAGCTCCTGAGAATCCTTCCCCTCACACTTCCAAGGCTGCACTGGCTTCCTTTCTTCTATGTGCCCATAGCACCCTCTGCATATACATCTTCCTTACTTTATTTAGCATCTTGCACTATAAATTTTTTACATATCTTTTCTCCCACTAATCTGAGCTTTGAGAGGCTGGGACTAGATTTTATGTATCTTTGTATCCTTAGTGGATAGCATACTATCTGCACAGAGTAGGCACACACAACTTTGCTAAATTCATGAATGGATGCAAGGACAGTTTCATCTTAATAATTCCATGTCATCTATAGAAGATTCTCCCTATATCCACAGAGTACATGGAAAGAATATAGGCAGTTGAGCCAGACAGTTCTGTCCTCTGTTCCAGCCCCCTCACCCTCTCACCGTGGGCAAATCTTCCAAAGTGTTTGGCATTCCTTTCCTAAACTATAAAATAGAGATGATAGACTATACCTTCTTTATTGTATTACCATGAGGATTAAATGATATAAGTCTGCTTTTCCAAAAAATAAGAGGTGCCATTTCCCCCCATATCACCAAGCATTCATTACAACACACTTACTCTAAATTATGTGAAGTGGAGACTTCAGAATATACCAGTGGTCTCTGGCTGGCCCTTCAGTTTCCTCAACACCTGCTTCTTGCTAAGAGGAAGGCATGAACATGCTGGGCCCTGACTTAGCTCTGATTATGATAACGTCGCACTCCAACTAAAGATGCCTCCCTGGGGTCTCTTGCTCAATCTAACCAACACAATGTCTGATTTCAGAGCCAGAGGGATTATTTTATGTTTGCTCTCTGAGATCCCCTAAATTGGTGGTTCTCTCGAAGAGGTGATATTGTTCTCAGAGGACATTTGGCAATGTCTGGAGATGTTTTTGATTGCCACAGCTGGGGTAGGTGGAAAGCTATTGTCATCTGTTGGGTATATGCCAGAGATGCTGCTTTACATCCTACAATGCCAAGGACATGCTAGACAAAGGAGAACTATCTGGTTCAAAATACCAATAGTGCTGGAGTTGAGAAACCCTATTCTAAGTAATAAAGAATAGACACCTCCCTCTTCATATACATATAAAGGAAGACAAAACAAGACCCAGCTGTATGTCAGAATAAATCAGAAGAAGGTTCTCCTATGTGTCAATGCTAATAAGTTTCTCCATCTATTTTCCCACTTTATTCCCAGATTAGACTACTATTTATTTATTTTCTCTGTACACTATCATTATTCTTTTAAAGTGTATATTCATATAAATTATACTGATGGGGGCTGGGCAGCTGCACAAATTTATTAGCATTGGATGGTCATAGAGGATTTAAAAAATGAAATGAGATGCATCAGCACACCACATCATCTAGTTTTTTGATGAATGGAGACATTCAGCAGAACAGCACATGGCTAAGAGCACTGTTTCTTCACTCAGGCTTCCCTTTTGTCATTTGCTGCTTTTCCATGTACAAGCTGTGTGATGTTACATGAGTTACCTAACCTCTCTGTGGTTTGCTTTTCTAACTATTCAATGAGAATAGCACCTGCTTCATAGAGTTGGGATAATAAGTGATATAAACAAAGAAGTAGTTGTCTTTACCCTGCTCTACAACTTTCTAGGTATGTGATCTAGTAATTTAATCTTTTTAGGCCTGAAGTGCCCCACCTGTAAGATGCAAATACTTGTAAATAGTACTTATTTCATGTTATAAGTATTAAATGAAATAACATACAGAAAATGCTTTTTTACCTCGTGAACTCTTGATAAACTGCAATAGTTTTTACTGCTTCAACAGTTGCTGTGTGGCACCAAAAAGAAAGTAAAGTATGGTGATTGTTCGCTGGGTGAAAGGTATGGATTGTCAAGGATGACTCAGTGACCCTCCATGGATGTCACTGTCTGAACTTACTCTCATTCCTTCTGGGTTCAACACAGTAGGAATAGTCATGTGTAGAAAATGGGGATGCCATCAGGTGGAAGTAACTTCAATGTGGGCTGTTGAGAAAAGGACCCCTTTCCTATTCTGTCACATTCTCTTTCCTTTATTCTGATGATACTCTGCAAGTCCAGCTTGGGAGACTGGCTTAGTACGGAGTCAACATGGTGCTAATTTAGGGAAAATTTTTTTTCAATTAGCAGCAGTCACTTCTAAGCTAAACCCCTGGGGCCATGGCCATGGGCCTGTCACTGAGTGGGGCTGAGGGATATTTCCTTCGGGTTGCTGGGTAAGATCTGAGCTGCATCGCAGGGCAGTCATGGGAACTGTTTCTTGCTGGCTGGGGTGAAGAGCAGCAGCCCATCAATCTGTGTCTGGGCATAGGCTTGCCCAAGGACAATTATAGGCAAATTAAAGAGTAATTCTGTAGGTAAATGACATCAGGAGAATATTCCACTTGCTTGGTAACTATTGGCTAATAGGTCCTATTCTGTATCAAGGAAGAAGATGGATAGGATGAGCTATGGAATTTATTTTTATTAAGGGATTATTACTAATGCTAATAATAATTCACAGAGAGTCATGCTTTACATTATGTTTGGAATATGTGAAAACTGTGAGCTGATGAAAATTATCAGAAAGCATGTAAAGTACTTGCGAGAAAAGGAGATGTTAATAATCGGTTTCATTTCAGAGCTGAATTACTCCCTCCACACCTCATGCAAAAATCTAGAAATCTCAGACAAAATAAATAAACAAAAAGAGACAATAAAGATGACCAGGCAGATGTGGAAAAGATAATAATAGAACATAGAAATTAAAAACACAACTGCCGGGAGGAACAACCTAAGACAGGCACAGTTGCAGGGGGGCCATCAGGTGAGAAATTGGGGATCAACAGAGGTGAGGCTTAGAACCTCACCCCTCCTGTTTTGAGAGTAATCTTCTGCATCCGTGGATGTTTTGTTGCCCTTGTCTAGCTTGGATTAATACTTAGTCCATAGGCA